GGGATGCTACTGCACAAAAATGTCTGCTATTTAAGGGCAGGAGGAAAGTGAAGGCAGAATAACTCTTCAGGCTTGCATTTCATGCTGGAAGATGCCATAATTTTCTGCAAGATGTCTGGTAATGGAGAAATTTCAGATTGCTGCAATCTTTCTGATTTACAGGCCTTGTATGCCAGAGGAAGAACAAAGAATGGTTTCATCCCTTTGTAAAGTTGTCTATGCTAGAGGTACAAGGCAGTTTGCATATGGCCTCTTTAGGATCTGGCCTACATCTCTAGGGTTTGGGCACTACGAGAAGAACCAGATATCTTTTACCTCCCTCTGATTGCCACATCTTGGGACAAAAACCTTTGTGTTATTTATTTACCTTAGAGCTGCCAGGCATTGCTAAAGCACAGCCAGAGCTGCACCCTCTCCATGCATGATGCAGTGTGGTTGTGATAGATGCTCACACACCTCTCCTCTGCATCTGCAGGGACACTCCTTGCCATCCCAGTCCCTGCTGGGTCCCTGCCAAAGTGTATTCTTTTATTAACCCACTGCCTGGCTTCATAACAACCTCATGTTAAAAAAAAAAAATAATGTATCAGAAGCTGTCATCCTCTTCCCAGAGATGTGGCACTTCTCCCTGGATGCTGTACAGATTAGTCTTGTACCAGTGTATTTGCCCCTCAGAAATAACAATGCTTGCTATGAGGCAGTCCAAAGCAGTGACAACTCAATTATGTTCCCTAGTTTTGATTTAATTTGGAAGAACTTCACTTTCGGAGTCCTTACTTTTTCATATATGCTCCTGCTCTTCAGCATTTTGAAAATTATTTTAGCTTCAAACAGTCTTTTATTGTTCTCCCTGTCAGAAAATAAAGTATGTATGTGATTATTCAACATTCATATGATAATAATATAGCACATTTTTAGTAGGTGACAGAACCTTTTAAAAAAATATCCCTATCAATGCTTGAAATTGAAACTTAGGAAACCAGTGAAAAACTTGTATCTGCTTAACTAGTAAAGAGGGTCAAGGGCACAAACCTGGTCGCTGACCTGTAATTTATTATTATACCTAATTTATCACCCAAAAAACACTCATTAAAGTCAATGCAGAGCTTGGGGGATTTAAGAAAGATGTTTCCTGATGAAGAGTGTAGGTAATGTAGCTTAGTTTTCTATTCCTGTTGTGCTTTGGGACAGTAAATGGCCACTAACTCAAAGTTATTTTTATTTCTAGCTGGAGCCTGTGCCTCAAGATGGCCAGAATACTTGTTTAAAATGTAGGAATGGCATCCTGTCACATGCTTGGGCACTGTCCAGCCATTGGTCCCAGCTACACAATTTTAAAAAAATTCATTGGGAGCATTTATCCATGGCTCCTTTGGCTGCCACTAATGCTGGGTGTAATGCTACTCTAACCCCTTTGGGAGGATGATAGCTTTCATAGCTCATTCATAGCACGAAGCATCTTGAAATTCACTGAAAAAACTGTAACACCACAATACACATAATTGTATCATATCATTAAATATTTGGAGAGTGTCATGGCTCAGCACACTGCTGAAGAGATTTTTTACATGAATGAGCACGGACCTCTGCTCCAACAGAGTTTGCAGTGGAGTCCTGGATCTACAGATGTATCATGTTTTCCTGAGTCATCCATGGAGGGTCTTCTTCTGTTGCAGGGATGGAAGAAGAGAGAGAGAGGAGACACACACATAAAAACAAATGATAAATGAAATGCTACTGAAGGGTGCATGGGTGGTCCTAGGGCATTAGTAACAGAATATGCCTTTTTTCTGTGTGTGTGGTTGGTTGAAATCCAGTATGGTTTATATAGAGTGAGTCTGGGAAGGTCTGCAACAGATTTAGGACTTTTGCAAGGGGTTGCAGGACTCCTTGAGTGAGAGTCACTCCTGCTGAGTTGCATTTGAAGTCAGGGACAGGTGTAGCTGAAGTCTGGGTGCAGGGACTCTCACCTGTGCTGTCCATGGTAGATTTAAGACTGATGTCAGTCTTCTAAAGCTCAGGGGGGACCTTATCACTCTCTGCAACTGCCTGAAAAGAGATTTTAGGGAGGTGGGGGGTCAGTCTTTTCTCCGAGGTATCAAGCAATAAGACCAGAAAAATAGAATCAAGTTTCCCCATGGGAAGTTAAGGTTGGATATTACAAGAAATTTCTTCTCCCAATGGCTTGTTTAGCCCTGGCACAGGCTGCTCAAAGCAGTGTTGGAGTTCCAATGCCTAGAGGGATTTAAAAACTGTGTGGATGTGGCACTTGGGGACATTGGTTAGTAGTGGGCTTGGCAGTGTTGGGGGAATGTTTGAACTTGGTGATCTTCTATAAACTCTTCTATTATTCTATGTCCCAGCTTAATAGACACTTCATAAATCCTGCATGAACTTGCTGGTAGATTTGGAGAGGTCTTCACGTTTTGGAGGTTACCTGGTGCAACAAATGACAATAAAGCTTTATTTTCCAGTTCACTTATCTTTCTGACATGATAATGAATTTCTTACAGCACCCCAAATATATTGCTAAAGATTAGCAAGAAGATTATTTTCCAAACATTTAAATATAATAACTAGGTCAGTTAGGAAATGCAATCAAGAAAATCTCATCCAGCTGCCTCTCCTTCTATTAATATGTGGATACAGTCACACTCTATCTTTCTTTTCAAACCAAGACACTACTCCACGCTATCACCTCTCAGCACCTATTAAGGTTGGTCACCTCTCAGCACCAATATTAAGACCATGAAGATCCTATGGAAGGACTCATGTAGCTGTGTTGTTTGCACAGTTCTGAGCACAGCAGGTGCCTACTGCATAATCATGAGTATTACAACTGCCACAGCTTGCTATTTCCACACCTATTGACTAATAACAACTGCATTTTCCTTACTGCCCTTTAAAGGTTACGGTAATTTTGGAAAAAGGCTATTTATACAAAAATCAGAGCATTTGCACAGCAAGTCAGACTGCAATAGATATACCAGGCACTTTCCCCATGTAAATAAGTCCTCCCTAGAGAACCCTGACAAAACCTCCTCATATGTACACATTTTTGAGGGTCAGTGGGATGGGAGAAGGGACAGGGAAATGTAAGTTTGGAATAGTTTGAGTACTTCTGGGCAACTGTCACACAAAGAAATATAGACATACTGTGCAAAGCTGCTGGCAAAACCTGATATTAAACAAATAATGTAATGTCTTTGGTAATTTGGTATTGTGTATACAGGGTTCTTTGCAGTTCACACTAGACCTTTTGTGACTTGTATATATGAATGCAATCAGCAAAGGGACACAGAGACAAAAAAATATCCTATATAAATCGTTGGCCTGAAAATAGACCATAAGGAAACTGAGTGTCTTGATCCAGGGACTAAAGTTTTTATTCTCTTTTTTCCTTTCACCTGAAACCCACAATTAGACCAAATGAAAGAAAAAATACAGAAGGACTTTTGCAACCAGCATCCATTTTTTCAGAGCCCATAGCTGACAGATGTCTTCAATTCAGACTCATGAGGCCTTAAGTTCAGACACAAGTTGTTCTTTTCTTTCTTACAGGGTTTTAACTTAAGGTTTTTTCTTCTATTTATTTTCCTTTTAATTTCCTTCTTTTTCCTTTTTTTCTTTGTTAATTTGTCCTTTTTTGTTGTTTTCTCTCTTTTTTTT